GCCTGTCATCCGGTAACCAGATTTGGAATCACGCGCGACTTTCTTAAATTAGAAAATGAAGCCCAAGACGGATTTGTTGGCTGAGTCTGCGTGGAAACAGCTGCAGCAATACTTCGATAATAATGGCTCGAAAATTAATATATACAATATGTTCCAGCAGGATCCTAAACGTTTCGAAAAATTTAGGTATTAGTCTGCTTTGCATGTCCTTGAGATGACCTTTTAAAAGTTGTTCATCATATGACCGAAAAAACTATTAAATATTTTGTTTTCTATTAAACATAGAATTTTTTAATAAATCTTTAAAAATTTTTCATTAAATCTAATAAAAAATAATGCATGCTCTTACATAGGTAATTAATTTGCATCATTAGAACTGTAAATGGTTCTAAATTTTTCAAAATCTACAAAAAATTTCGAATTGTACGAAAATTAAATAAACATAAGATATATCCAAAAATTATATTTAAGTAATTATGTAAAACAGCCTGGAGATCTCTGTTTCACAAGATGGGCCAATTTTATTGGATTATTCCAAGAATAAAATTAATGAAGAAGTACTTGGATTATTATTTAATTTGGTATGTAAAATTAACTTATATAAAATTATTTTTGTTGTTTTAAAATTATTTTCTTAACATTTGAATTACGTTATTATGTCATTCTATAGGCTCGTGCACGGGAAATAGAAGCTGCAAGAAGTGCCATGTTTAATGGTGAAAAGATCAATTTCACAGAGAATAGAGCAGTTCTGCATATTGCTTTGCGTAATAGAAGTAATACATCCATATTAGTAGATGGAAAAGATGTAATGCCTGATGTTAATGCAGTATTAGATCATATGAAAAACTTTACAAATGAGGTAAGTTTATCATTCATTTTTTTATATAGAGTAAAACCCCTTATTATGAGATAGGTGCCTAATATAAGACAGCAGCGTTTCTGCTAAACTAATAAAAATGCTATCTATTGATTCCAACATGAATTTATTGCTCTTGGATTGAAAACTATTTAATGGAAAATTCATTAGAATTCATTATTTACCTGTAGTCATTATAAAAAAAGATTAAAAAATTTGGATGTATTTAAGTTTCATTAAGATGAGCCTTTAAACCTTATTTATTATTTAATAAGTAAATATTTTTATAAGTAAATAAATTCTTCATGTAATGATAGAGTAAGATCATATTAATAGAAATACGATATGTTGAATTGTTTAATTACAGAAGTTAAATTTAATGATCATAAAACCATAAGGCGCAAAAATCGTAATATGAGATACTCAGAGTATTTTTAATTTGAAATAATCTATGCTCCTATATCATAGTGAAAATTGTTGTCAAAGTATAAATGTTATTATACAATAATAAAAAGGATAACCTGAATGAACATTGAGTGCATATTTCTGCTTGGTTCTAATTACCTGAAGAGTCGTTGGTACAATGCATCACACGCCCATGGCTGTGTTTGTTCGTATTTTAGAAACATTAAATAAAGTTTTTTAATTGCAATACTGATGTACTTTGCGTTTTATTATCGATTTCTCAGGATATTTCATATTAGGAGCACAATTGTTTGACTTTGCGATTTGCTTATTTTTTACATTTCTTTAATTAAAAAAAAAATAGAATTTGAATTAAATTTTACATAACATTATCTTAAAGCTTATTAAATTTTATTCAAAATGACCTATTATTTTTTAAAATTCTGTCCATAGACTTCTAGTATTGATCCAAAATGAACTCGGTATCTTTTATAATGGGGACCTTCTACATATCTTCATATATAAAATAAATTTATTTACAGGTATTAACCAAACAATGGAAAGGATTCACTGGTAAACCTATTGAAGATGTTGTCAATATCGGAATTGGTGGCTCTGATCTTGTAATTCACACAAAAATTTTTTTTCTTACCGTAATAATTATTAAATATTCATTTAAAATTTAATACTTATTTTAATAGGGTCCACTTATGGTGACTGAAGCTTTAAAAGCATATAGCATTGGACCTAAAGTTCACTTTGTTAGCAATATAGATGGTACTCATATAGCTGAAACTCTTAAAAAGTTAAATCCAGAAACAACTTTATTCATAATAGCTTCCAAGACATTTACTACACAAGAAACGATAACGAATGCAACTACTGCCAAACTGTGGCTTTTAAAAACATTAAAAGATGTAAGCGAATGAGTTAGAATTTATACATTAAGTATCATGTTTTGCTTGGTATGTATTATATCTTATCTAATATGATATTATAATATCATTTAGGAAGCTGCAGTAGCTTGCCATTTTGTAGCATTATCTACTAATGAACAAAAGGTTAAAGAATTTGGCATTAATGTGAAAAATATGTTTGGTTTCTGGGATTGGGTTGGTGGACGTTACTCATTGTGGTCAGCTATTGGCTTATCAATCTGTTTGTCAATTGGTTTTGATAATTTTGAAAAGCTTTTATGTGGTGCTCACTTTATGGATCAACACTTTTGCACAGCGCCATTAGAGCAAAATGTAAGTACATTGAATAAAAAGAAATTATATTCTATTAAATTATTGATTACTCAAAAATAATCTCGAAAATTAAAAACTAATAAATAAATTGACTAAATTCAAATCAAAAGTCCTTTTATATACATACGCGCGCGCGTTTATATATATATAAACGAGAGCTTTTAATTTTTTAAATGATTTATTACATATTATGATATAAATTGTATAATTACAATGACTTATGCTCAATTTCTTCACCTTTAGATATCTTTAGATTACAATGGAGATGTCTCTTGGATAAAGTTATTCGTAACTTATCTAGAAGTGAAAAAATTGGAGAATGATTTCATTACATATTTCATGATTTAACTTATTCTTTGTAGGCTCCTGTTATATTAGCTTTACTTGGCATATGGTATCATAACTTTTATAAGGCTGAAACACATGCATTATTACCATATGACCAATATCTACATAGATTTGCAGCTTACTTTCAGCAAGGCGATATGGAAAGTAACGGAAAGTATATTACTCGTTCTGGAAAATCCGTAAATTATTCCACTGGTATATTCTATATTGTCCAGAATACATTTTTAAATGCATTAAACAGATTAACATTTGTTGTTTTTTTTTAAGGGCCAATTGTATGGGGAGAACCTGGCACTAATGGACAACATGCATTCTATCAGTTATTGCATCAAGGTACAAGACTTGTACCAGCAGATTTTATAATTCCTGTTCAATCTCAAAATCAGGTGAATAATTTTTTATATTGCTATATTTATTAGACTTATCTGTTATAATACATGTAATGCATTAGTTTTGCACTTATGCTGAGGATAACTCAAATCATGATATCAAAATGTTTATTGTTAATTTTTAATAATCTATTGTGCAATGTTAACTCTTATTGGTTTTTTTTATTATAGGATTAATTTTTTTAGAACCTTTTAATGATATTTTATTTATCTGTTATTATACATTTTTATTTGTATACTTTGTGCAGATTGCTCCACATCACACGATTTTACTTGCCAATTTCTTTGCGCAAACTGAAGCTTTAATGAAAGGCAAGAATGAAAATGAAGCTCGAGCTGAATTGCAAAAATCAGGATTGAACGCTGAACAAATAGCTTCATTATTACCACACAAATTGTTTGAAGGAAACAGACCAACAAACAGCATTGTAGTAAAAAAACTGACACCTTTTATTCTTGGTGCTTTGATCGGTAAATATACAATAATGATATACACATATGTGTGTGTGTATACATGTGACGAATTGTGACGCAATTGGCGAAATAAATATTCTTTATATTTTCTCGAATACTTTTTTCAAAAATCATGCAATGAATCAAAAGCATTGGTTAAATTTTACTTATATTTTCACGCGCAATCATTTCTTTGCTGATTGTCATGATTTGATCATGGTTCATTGAATATTAAAGTATAAGTATAAAGTATGTATATTAAAATACATATTAGTAAAAAGAAATCCATTATTTTTCCAATAGATGGTTTTAGTAATCTGTATCACGCGTAGACGAGACACCTAATATAATCATACAGTTTGACAATCGTAATATTTTACTTCTATTTTTTTCAGCAATGTATGAACATAAAATCTTTGTGCAAGGTATTATTTGGGACATCAATTCATATGATCAATGGGGGTAAGAAAAAAAATTATATTTTTGCATGAAAAGTTCTTTACCAACATATACAAATTCTTTAATGGAATTTAAAAAAAAAATTAATATTTCTACATACAGCGTGGAGTTGGGAAAACAGCTAGCTAAAGCCATCGAACCAGAACTGGTTAGTGCAGAAAATATCACAACACATGATTCATCGACTAATGGTTTGATAGCATTTGCTAAACGCCACAGAGTCTAAATATACTTATTTAGCTATATTCTTTGTTACAAGATGTTTGAAATAGAGACAACCGAACATAAATAATTATATTCCAAGTCATGTTATTAGAATTTATGTATATACTTGAGATATATATATATATATAGTTGATAAAAAAATTATAAAAATCACAAATATAACTCTTAAGAGTCTTATCTTTAAGATTTTTAATTCTTCTTATCATGATGTCAAATTGGATTAATGTCCATATAATTTCAGCTATAGATTTTCGGTACTATTAATATATTACAAAATGCGTTTTTAAATTATGATTATAGAATTAATTTATTTTGACTTATACAAGGAAAAAGATTATATAATCAATGTTACAATATTACTATAATGGAATCAAAGAAGCTAGAATTGTAATAAAAATGGTTTGATTATATATTTATGTACTTACTACATCATATTTGCTATGATCTGAGAGATTTTAAATATTGAATAGAAAAGTATGTGTTGTAATTAACATAATATAAAAGTTAAATGAACAGTGTTGTAAGAATATTGCAATATAACGTTATCTTCAATAGAACATTCAATAGTAGTTTTCTTGATCTATTTTAGATTTTTTAATATTTTCTAATCTATATATTTAATAAAAATGTTTTTATTTCATATGCATACATTCCCATCTTACCTTTTATCTTTTACATCTTTAATTTTATGATAACGTGTATGGTAATATTTTCATTTTATGCTTAAATTCTAAGCAGAATCATAATTGTTTCATTCTGTGATCGACATACGTTTTTAACTTGATATTCTTTAGTGATAATAAATTTTAATTGTTTTTGATCCAATTTGTCAAGACGAATTCCTTCTATGTCTTGGAATTACAACATCAAATCTGTTAATCTGATGATTTTTTTTGGACATGAAGGGATTGATATTTTGAAATTGTATTGCTGAGGTTCCAAAGTGAAACGTACTATTTTTTGGAATAAAGATTTAAGATTGCGTACTAACTACCATGCTGATTCTCATTCGCCTTGGTTTTTTAGAATTTTGTTAAATTTAGGAGAGTTAATTACATTATTACTATATTTAAAAACCTTGTTTCTTTCTCTCATTATACCATGCCACCAAAGTTATCAGTTTTCCACGAATTATAGCTTTTTCAATTTTTTAAAAGTATGTAGGTTATAATACGTAATTAAAAGGCCTGTTTTTTTGTAGCTCAACTTTTCGCACTATTCATCTTTTTTTTTCTCCATCAATGTGGAGAAAAAAAGAGGAAAAAGACGAATTGTGCAAGAAGTGGATCTAAAAAGAACAGACCTATCATCAGCATTATCAAATATCAAGCACTGTTGAAGATACGGCGAACAAGACGGATACAGTGTCTTGATTAGTTTCTCCTGGTTTTTCCGGTAGCGATCTTTCACGACCTTTTTCTGCACTCAACTTAAGTCCAACTGTGCATGGGTGCGTTCCAAGTTACGTGTGAAACGCACGATGTATCGTTTTATCCTTCTTTATTAATTGATAAACAACAAGGACAAATGATGCATCATGCACTTCATGCATAACTCGGAACGCACCCCATAAAAGCACGTTCAGCCGTTTCAGCCGTTTAACACGTCAATGGTATTAATGGTGGGCAGTGTCAGCTAATGCTATGAGAAGCAATCTCTTCTAGCCAAAAGAAAGAATGGAGTTGTTAGTCGCGCAGTATACTCTGCTCGAGGAAAATATATTGCTAACTATTAAACGCAATGGCATTCAACATCGGTACGTCATTGACACCGTCATTCTTTCCTAGAACGAGTTAACCTTGCAACGAGATTTTAACGCGGCTATTATGTTTTGTTATGAAATTAGAGAAAAAGATATGTTTATCCAGTGTAATTTCAACAAGTGAATTACGTGCTCATAATTTGACAATGATAGTAATTAATTTTTTTTAAATCAGTGACAATAGAAAATGATGTAACTTGGATTAAATTTTGATTAATTTCATCAGATTAAATCAAATATATTAGATTATATCAAATATATAAAATATAGAAAGAGAAATTAGATTAGAGGCAAACTTTGCAATTATATATGAGCATTCTGTTGTAAGCAAAATTATTTTTACCAAGATCTTAATCTTTCATATATATTAAATAATGAAAAAATTTGTAACTTTATTGATATTTAGAAGATGGATTTGTCCGATGTATTAATTAAGAGTTGCTTGGTCAGAGTTGTTATGTAACAAAACTAACTTTATATATTATGGGTTTATCTTTTAGGCCAAATACAAACAGTGGATTATGGCTAGGTGCTTTAGTTGGCCTGAGTGCTGTGATTACGATATTGAAAGAAGAAAGCAGTTATTCTGAGATATGTCTCTCTGTAGGAACTACTGGTTTCGGTCTTATTCTCTGTTGTCTATGTCTTTATGCACGACTTTCAATGAAACAAATTATAGCAAAAGACTTTCATGCTGTATACTTTGTACCTGCAATTATAACATCTATACTGTTTCTACTTGTTGCTAACAAAGGTATATCAATCTGCAAATTATTTCTTTATTGAATTAAGAAGTTGACATGAATATAAGTAACATGTTGATATTTATTGGAATTGAATAATTATATGCGCAACTCTAGTTATTATAGTTTTATATTAATTAAATAAGAACAGGACTATTGACTAGTGTCACATGGGGCCTAACTGTTGGAAGTTTGGGCACATGGGGTGTTTTACAATTGATGTCAGGTTTTCCATGCTGTTTTACAATGGGAGAAGCAACAGCGGTTACGCATGGTTTTATTTTGTTCTTGATGTCGGTTGTTACTAATTTACCTTTACGATATCATTTACCCCCGATTCACGATAATGACATCAGTACAGTCTTGTTACAGGTAACGAAATGTAAAAATTAATTGTTGTGATCTTTTTTTCATATAATATATCATATGTTACAGGTTGTGATATCGTATGTAGTGTCGATATGTTTCCTGTGTGGATATTTTCCCACTCTGCGCAGTACAACATATTTTTACTTGATGATATTCAGTCTCTTATGTTTCGTAATTCTTCCAATGCTTTACATTATTCTTGATCAAAATCCAATAGAATGGATAATTTCTTTTTCTTTTAGTAGTTATGAAAGGGTAAATAACTATATAATATTTTATTATTATAATTTATGCTACTTTAAAAATGGATGAATCATGAGATAAGACATAGATTACAAATAATAATATATTTTTTAAATTGATCTTATTTTATTCTTATATGTTTTAGATTGCAATATTTATATATTGGGCAGTGTGTTTTCTGTTAAGTATCTTTATTATAAGTCATCAGATATCATTGAAATCCCAAGCTACAAGTTCTACTAGAAAGCATTTTCATATATTAGCCACATTTGTATATATTCCTGGCATGATATACAATCTTCCACTGTTATATCTTGCTAGTGGTGTGATGTTTGTACTACTTATTGCTCTTGAGGTATACAGTTATACAATTATTGCTGTATATGTATTGCTGTATATGTAATATAATTACATTAATTAATTTTTAGGTAATCAGATTTTTGAAAATCCCGCCTTTAGGAGAAATTTTACAGCAAGGATTTATTGCATTTGTTGATGAAAAGGATCCTTTGCTTTCATTAACACCTATATATCTATTGTGTGGTTTATCATTACCTCTTTGGATGCCAACTAATAATTTGACGTTAATGGTATTACTCAGCGGTGTACTGACGGTAGGAATCGGTGATACTGCTGCAAGCTTCGTCGGTAACAGATGGGGTGCACATAAATGGCCCGACACGGAAAAAACTATCGAAGGCACCATTGCATGCATATTTTGTCAAATTTGCATAATATTCACGCTAACATGTTGTGGTAGATTTCGGTTCTTATATCTTCCTAACAGCTTCTTTCATAAAACTGTTTTATTTATTTTTAATTATTTATGTTTTGCCAGGATTAATGGATAATTATCGATTACTACTGAGAAGTATTTTGTCAGCTGTATCAATATCATTGATCGAAGCACGCACAAATCAAGTGGACAATCTGGCTCTGCCATTATTAATGTATGTATGTTTGATGGTTTAAATGAACATATCATTTTTAATTTGATAATAATCTACATATATGTATGTGTGTGTGTGTGTGTGTGTGTGTGTGTGTGTGTGTTTAAATTAATTTTTTAAGAAAGTTACCATTAATAATAACCATAGGTACAATCATTTCATTGTATAATTTTTTGTAATTTTTAATCGCTTTTTATAATGGAAGGAAATGAGAACAAATAGTTTATGCAGAACTTATTATTAACATTTTTTATGATATTTTATAGTAAAAATTATATTTAGATTAATACATTCAATCACATCATATTGTTTAATATAAATCCATATATAGGAAATTAGCTATGATTGAGGATTAAAGATTGCAAAATTTAATTTTGATAGAAACTAAATCGATAGAATTTAAATCGCGAGCAATTTTAGCGATATTCTACTTGTTGTTTGCACAACAATACACTTAATTAGCGTACTTTTTAAAGAAACAAACAAATAAGGATGTAATGAATTATCTTTATATGCGCTGTGTCGTTAAGTGATGATAATGTACAAATATTTATACTTATAACGGCATAACACGTTATAATATATTTTTCTGTATATATAAGTATATGTGTAACATGTATAACTTATATATTTATCCAAAGAATCGAATTATAAACGATGTATAAAAAAATCGTATTGATAGATCAATGCGAATACGAAGATCGGTGAAGGCAGATGTTATGCATTTACGCTTTATTAACTTACATTTACTTAAAATCTGTGAAACATCGATTGTGTGCCTGATATATTTCGCTCATTCCTGATAAAGCATTTTTGTATGGAGCCATATAAACTTTCTGAACTTTTCTAAAGAGAAAATTACTAATATATGAATAAAATTATTTTTCTATTTTACAGTGATTGTTCTTTATAACCACTGTAGAGAGCTAAAAAGTCTAAGTTTTAAGTAAACCTGATATCGTAATATTCTTTATTATTATTCCGCTGTTATAAGTCATTTGATTTTTTTTAAGCAGGGCGATTTGGAATAATCATTAATTGAAATGTTTATTTTAGTGTTTTATTGACCACACAGCCTTAAAATCTCAGTTGAGAAGTGGAATGATTGACATATTAGGTGTTGGAATTAATTCGTAGCGTTTTACAAGTGATGGGAAGTACTTTCATTAATGTATTTTTTAATGCTCATGTGAAATAAATAACATTCTTTCATTAAAAAACGCTACGAATTAATTCCAACACCTAATAGATAAAATCTAATTTGAGATACAAAATAATAATTAAAGTAATTATGATCAGAGTAGTAATGTGCAAAAATTATTTGAAAATAATCTTTAAAAAAAAATAGTCAAATGTTCATGAAATGTATCAATCGCCAGAAATAAATTGATCTAATATATTAATACTGAAAAAAAAGTTTATATTTACTAAAAATTTGAAAAATTCGATTATTTTCAAAGAAGGACACTTGGTATCTCAAGTTAAATTTTAAATGAATAATCATTTTACTTCTCAGCTAAATACAGTTTCAATCCATCTCAGTCAAAGTATTGATTAGAGATGAATTGAACCACCCGCGTCTCAAAATACAAAACTCCATTTTGAATATCTCATCTGACACTCTCTTGAGATGAGATTCGAACAAATCCTTGATTCTTTTCATCCTTGATTCTAGAATATTATTAGTTTGGTCTATCGATATCAAGATAGTCCGATGTATTAGTATTCTCTCATCTTCACAGAATGATTTCACATGAGAGATCATTCGTATTCGATCGCCTTCACGGTCCAAGAAAATGACAAACGGATATACATTATGTTATATCACTACGTATTATTTAAATTTGTTTTTACGTGTGTGTGTACGTATGTATATATAATATGCATATATATATATATAATATATTAGGTGTTGGAATTAATTCGTAGCGTTTTACAAGTGATGGGAAGTACTTTCATTAATAATATAAATATATATATAGATAGAGTTTTGTGTGTGTGTGTGTGTGTGTGTGTGTATATGTAAAAATTAAATAAATATCCTAAAATTCTCGGTCATGTAACACCGTTTGTTTCTTAGTGGAATGTAGGACAACGTTGTGTCATGTTCGCTGTGTGTTAAAATGTATGTAAAACTTACTCAGTGTATTTCTTGAATTCATCATATGATATATTATGACTTTTTCATTATCATATACTTTCGATCGCAATGTTTGGAGATATTTGCAGCTCGATATTCGCATTTCTTCTCTTTGCGTTACAGTCTCATCGTTTTTAATTATTAAAAAGGTATGAAACGTAAGATATACAGTATAAAATTTGCCCGAACTAGAACGATAAAAATATAATATCTAATTGTATAGAAAAATTTTTGTATACATTACATACAGACGCATGCACACATGCAACTTTCTCTCTCTCTCTCTCTCTCTCTGTTTCTGTTTTAATATTGCTTTGCAATTCAGGATCTAAAACATATTTACATGGAAAATCTTAAAAATAAAGAACACGATTATGTCATTTTCCAAAACGTAAGAAAAATTTTATTATTTTATTAAACGAATAACAAAATCCATAAATAAAATTAATTCTTGTATTTAAAATATTAACTTTTAGCACGAATATTATTATAAATTAAAATCTCATTTTGAATTTGATATCCGTGTTTAGAAATGTCCAAAAGAAAATGTTTTATTTCATCTTATTCTAAGTTTTTATATGCATGAATATAAAGATTATCATAAAAGAAGTAAATAAATTGTAAAATTAAGAGATTGCCTCATGTATATATAGATACTATTAAAAAAATATATGTATATTAAATTTTTTAATTATCATATATTTATAAAAAGGAGCAAAAAGTCAGAACTATACAATAATTATAACGTGATAATAATAAAACAATTACATTAATAATTACATAGAACACATGTTATGCCTATATTTACATTCAAATTAAATGTTCTTTAGATTGGGCAAATTTCACACCGTGAAATGATGAATTATAGTAAGAAAATAAGCATTCGCGTTAATTATGCGTTGCTGATTATTGACTTTCATGTGCAAACGAATATCATGCTGTCAATTGTAATTTATGAGCATCTATTTGGATTACACAAAGAGATAGTCTCAATGTAAACATATGTAAACATATGTGCGCATGTACATACAATATTGACTTATCTCTTTATGTTTACGAGATGGACATTAATCGGTCGTATCCAGTCTTAGCACTAGCAAAAGAATTAGCATAATAATTAAAATGCTGACGGTAGAATGAAAAATCATTTTTAATGTTACAATGTGCAATTAAACTATCGAATTGAGAGAAGCAGAAAGTGTGTATTCCCCAACCATTCTATTTTTGATACATACAAGGGATCGTATCATAAAAGCGATAAGATTGATTCTTTAAAGCGTCGCATATCAATATTGAATATGAAAAGCGCAGAAATTAAAAGTTTTTTAACTTTTCAATTTTACTAATCCCATGATAAAATTACAATCAAATATTCATATTCTTAACAACTTGATTCAATTAACAATGCACGTATGGAATAGAAATATTGTTGTACAAGTGATTAAGACAAATTGTTCATTTTGTAATTTTATTTTTGAAATAAAAGCGATCAGAAATTAAGGAAAAACACTAAGAATAAAAAATACCTCGAACCACCCAATTTCGCATTTGCAATATAAAGAAAACATTCGAATTAGAACTACAGTAGTTTGAATGTTTGATATTGTCATACTACATTAAAAAAAATCAATCTCATTACTTTCATAGTTACATATATTAAATTTTCCCTTATCGATTACGTATAAGGGTCAAATAAATTCGCCAGTTCGCGTTTTCGTCAGTTACATATGTACAATCGTGATGCGGATCGAGACTATTCGTAGTTCCAGCTACTCTTAAAAGCAACAATATAGTTTTTCATTTATCAGCGTTCAATCGCGAGAATAAAAAGGCGATTGTGAATGAAACAATTTGAAATTGCTTTCGGCTCGCCGATACGTATATTTATATCGCAATTCCGGATTCATTCGATTCCATAATTTTCTAAATCTTGTTGCGATAATACGCACAGTCACTCGTTTATCCGTATTTGCTTCATTGAGACTAGAAAGACGAAAGATGAAAACGGAACGATTTGAAATTGAAATATATATTTACTAGGTCTTACTGCGATTAGTATATTACATACGATGTGAAAGAAATCTATGATCAGATAGCCGTGTTTAGCGCTAAACAGATTCAGAAGATATGAGCATTAAATCCTCACTGAATCTCTCCGAAATAATGACGCACATTGCATACTCGCTCGTAATTCGTATTAAGATTAACAAGACAAATTTGTCAGTTTATCGTAATTCTAACATTTCATCGCAAAGCTAGTGACGTAACTGCTATATACGGGTACAAGATTAGATTTCGAAGAGAAATATAAAACAAGATTTTAATAAAATAAATATAATTCCTTTTACTGATTTCAGATATCTGCATAGATTAATAAAATTCAGAGAAATTCATTTTAATTTTTTTATACTTTGTAAATGAAAATGAATTTTTGTAATTATTATTTTCCTCGAAGAGAATTTATTACGTCATTGTAAAAATGTATATCTGTGACCTACGATACATGCGCCCTGCGAGCAAATATGACGAACCATATAAATAAAATGGAGCAAACTCTTTTTTTGTTTTTTCTCTATTTTTCTCCCTCTTTCTTTCTTTGAACTAAATAAATTAGCAAATTCGGTTATTTATTTAAGTACATAAAATTTATCAGAGTATATATATGTATATATATTATATGCATTCAGTAGAGACAATAGGCTATTACCAAGCAGTAATCGAATGTGTTGCAGCAAATTAACTTTAAAAAAATTATTTGTTGAACTGTTTGGTAAACCGATTATGATATTTTATACATATGTTTTTTTATATCACTTGTGTAAAACCGCTTCCAATGCATTTCACAAAAATTTGCTTCATTTTCATCTACATGACGCAGTATTTAGTAATTGATAGGTCGCTTTGCACCGACAGTCCTTTTTCATAATCTCGTTACCAACTGGTCAAGAATCTTAATGTCTATGCTTATATCTTGTAAAGCATCTTGCAAGCTGTCATCCCGTAATCGCGTGTCATTATCTTTTGTGACAATCTATATAATCATCTATTAAAAATTATATCATCTATTTAAAAAAAAAATATTATAAATGAATAAATTATAAAGAATTATATATATAAACTGACAAGCTTGAATAGAGCAACATGATTAAAATTTCATTTATTTTAAGATTAAAAAGATATCACGCAAATTCCTAGTGAGTCATAAATAAGGAATGTGCGAATGCGTTTATAAATTCAAGACGTTTCTTGTGATGACAGCAATCACGGGTGGAACCGTTCGTTTCAAGCCTAATATACATTGATTAGGTTTACAAAACGCCCTACCTCATAGGGCTTCAAGAATCGAATCGGTTTCACAGTAGAGGAGGATATGGGAATTCAAAGAAATCAGAGACGGGAACTCGGGCTGATACGTAGGGCCAGAGATTGATTACTCCCGCAGTTTATGCCAATCGGCTATCTGTCGTCGCGGTGAGCTGCATACTTCTTTCCAATGGTTTACAGCAGAGCCTTGACATTTTGGTCCACCAAATTCTAGCCGGCCGATTACCTAAATTATTACATTTTGTTACGATTCATTTACCGTGATTGTACAAAATTTTTTTACTTATTATAATTGCAATTCAATAAATTGCAATTCAATAAATAAAGAAATGAGACGTATGTATGATATATAAAAGATTATTACACACAATATGTGTGTGTGTGTGTGTGTGTGTGTGTGTGTAATCTATTGCGGAAAATATATCTATTAATTTTGGGATATTCTGCAAATATCTTAATAGAGAAAGTTGTTTTGCGTAAAATATACATTGATCTGCTCGATAATAGAGTAAAGTTTTGGATGATCAAAGTATAAAATTTACCTCGTTTTTCGTTACTCTATCCCAGTCCAATAACATGAACTCAAGGCTGACATTATTGAGCCCATCTGCACCGTTCGGTATATCGAAAACGAAGGACTCGTTAAATACCGGACTGAGCGTACGTTTCTTTACATGTGTTTTCTTCTTCGCAATACGTTGTTGATTGTACAGAAGATAGATTTTCACATACGGGTCAGCGAGCCCAGTGACATCCATCTTTGGTAGATTTCGTGCTTTTAATACTACCACCGTCAGCCGGCTGGTAACAGGTTGCCAACAAAGAGAGACCAGCAACTCTCCTCTCCCTTGCGACTGTATCTAAAATGAAATAAGAGAATATAAAAAATATTATTTATACTCAGGATAAACTGTATTTATTTGTAAGTTATTTATACATCATTTATTTATATAAAATGCTCTTCAACAAATTTTTCATCAACAGTATTTACTTTTAAACTCCTGGGATATATTTTTCGACAAAGAGATATTTCCTGATTGTCCGCATCCTCTAAACCGGGCACTGATGATAAAGCACATGTCAGTTCTCCAATGATATCATCACGTGAATATCGGTCAAAACTCAATACGATGAAGTGTAAGCTAATTTTCTGCAATTATAATTTTAAAATAAGTCATTTCTTCTCTTAAAAAAAGATTCATTATGATAATCTTAATTGGGAATTTAATTTTAATAGAAATTATTTCAACAATTGGATTTCAATCATTTACCTGAAGCTGACTCTGCGATATGCCAAAGAATGTGAAATCTTCGTCATACACTGGGTCTCTGGTATTTCTAAGGACTCTAGTTTTCACATGATGCTGTTTGTCAGGCAACAATTGCAGTTTCACGTAAGGATCACTGGTAGCATTCTGCTGACCTCTGGCTGGCAACCCTTTGCATTTCACCACGGTGACCGCGAGCGCATTCTGTTCGCTTCGATATCTCAGTTTAAAGACAAGCTGGCCCAGATTATCTTTGTCGTTCTCAGCTGTTTGGCACTTTTCACGTTCGACCTTCTCATTATTCTCTAACTCAGCCTTGTCGCGCTCGTTCTCTATACTCACAGCGACCTCGACAGGTGTTTGTACCGGTGTTCCTACAAAGTATTAAATGCAAATATTAAAAATAGTTGTTTCTCTCAAAAAAAGATGATTTTTTTTTTATGACATTCATTATTGTGGATTACGTTACATTACCTGCGCTTTGCGGTGTTCTAGGTTGAGATGCTGGATTTGAAGACTGTGACCCTGTCGGGCTGGGAGTTTGTCCACCAGAACCAGGCGGGCTTTTAGCAGGTCCTGTCGGTGATGGACTCTTCTTTAAATAATGGCTCGTACTGCCAGGGCTTTTAACCGCCGTCGGCTTCCGATGTGGAGGTCTGAACGCCAGGGACTTGTCCGAGCTTAACTTGGTGTGCTCGCGACGTCGTCGACAGAGCCACCAGGTCATAGCGACAGCACATAATAAGAAAGCGGCACCAATGCATAACGTCACCAATGTCGCCGTCGAGACTGAAATCATATACGTAATGATCGATTGATTGGACTGGAAAATGAATTTAATTATATTGCTCATTTGCTACGACACAATTAAAAAATTGTCATTTTTTAATTGTTTGTAAAAAAGAAGGAAAATATTTTAAAAGAACATTCCGGGAAAAAATGTTTCATATATATAATTATATATATAAAAATTGACATATTTTATATACAATTATATATAATTATATAATTTTTAATTTTATCAGAGAATTATTTTAACACTGAAGATGACTCGATAAGGATGAAAATGTTTGTTTATTGTACTTCTTAATTATTAAATATTAAGTGTCAATTATTAACAATTACCAGCTTGTTCCGACTCGTAACTTTTTATTTGAATGTACAACTATATATAATTATATATAAAATATGTACATATCTATATATATAAATTTTTTTTCTCGGGATTCTATTATTTTTATTTCTTTATATCAATTATTACAAAATTGCATTTTTAAATTAATATTACAAAATTTTAATAAATCCAAATATTCAAACTTATTTTCTGGAAAACTTTTTTTTTAGTTATGACGTTTGTTTCTTAAATAGAGTACTGTATTGATAATAAGACTAAATTCGCTACGCATGCGCGAAAAACCCGATCCATCTGAGATCCACTGATCGTACGCATGTGTGCCTTTCGATTTCGATTTTGTCGTAATTGCGCATCTATTTATCGCGAACAGCATGGTATCGTACATGTAATGTAATATGAGGACAACGGGAGAGCAAATAATTGTCGTATATTCTAAAAAGAAATCATATGATGTATTTACAATATACAAAAATATGAAGTAATTAAGATTTAACTCTTTATATTTCCGTATTTACTCAATGAAGCGAAATGTAAGCGTGTGAAACGTAAAGTAAAATAATTGTTGCCTCTCAAACATATCGCATGATACCCAGCAATGAGAATGGATTGAAATGAATTGAAATGGATTCAGATTTTCAGAAATATTGATTCACGAATATTAAAATGAATGCTTTTCAATCCTGAATACATTTTTATTCATTTATAGGAATTGCATGGAGCATATCTCTATGTCTTTCACTCTAAAAATAATTAATTTTTTCTATATGCACAACACAAATTGTGAATACTGTTCAATTCGAAATTTTGAATAAGAAATGCAGTTTTTTAATCTAATTGCATCCAATTGAATCTAATTGAATCCAATTAAATCCAAAAAAATTCCCTATTTAAAATACGCATTCGGATAGAAAAAATTTCAATTACAGCACGTTATGCGCTAATTATTATACTCCCATCGGATATCGGATTCTGTAGTAAAGGACTAGTCGATTGAGATGCGTGACTCCTTTAAACTTTCCAGCTCTTTCCACGACGGAACTGCGCGTCAAATAAAATCCATTTCGACAATCATGTCTATGATCAAAAGTGCAAAGGATGAAATTCGATTTAACGTATTTGGCACATACAATCGTTGCTGTAATCTTTCAAGGAATTAATGATCTAGTACGGTCATGATCGAGAGACGAAAGCTAACAGCTGTCAGTGCACCGAATTCTGAACAATATTGGAGAGACATTCGTTATTACGAACGGATGATGAATCGGCCGATGTCACAGTGATCGTGCATCAATAGTAAAAAGGAGGAAGCAGGAACTGCGGGTGGTTTCGGAAGGGAAACGTCAGGTGGGAACGTTGCGTGACACATCGTCGGCACTCACCGGGCTCGACAGGTCGAATAAGAGGTCCACCCTCCGTCACTCCGCCGACCATCTTCAGGGTACACTGCTACCTTGTGCTACCCCTGAATGCTAAAAGGATGCCTTTATCCGCGTCTTATTATTAAATTAAATCCAAATTAAATTCGCCACGGCACACCGTACGATTATTTACGGGCGGCGTACAGCCCGACGTCCGTGGCACTCTACCGTCCGATCGTCGGCCGAAACGTCGGCGTGGATCAATAGCCTTCCTGAGGAGTGGAGCTTGCGCGAAGAGTACGATACGCCACCGGCACTACCGACAGCGTCATCGGAAAAATGTGATACATGGTATAGGGTGGTCCCGGGGATGATTCGCCGATGACCTGTCTGACGCATGACGTTGAATTCGGCTTACCTAAAAAAAATTTGCAAATTAATTGTGACAAAAGATGTTAAATCATTTTTTTTTTTAATATATAACGAAGATTTTGAATTTCGCGTTTATGCCAAATCTAAACTTAAACATTTTTTTTGTCTTAATAATTTTGAATACTAAAAAAATCTGAATATTTCGAGATGTCTTTTTAAAAAAAATATAGATTTAATCAATATATATTTTTTAGTGTGCTTTAATATCTCTACAAACATAGGCAAGATATATTGAATTGTTAAAATTGTTAAGTTTTTCTTTTTACTTTTTTTTCTTTCTCTATCTCTGTTGAAAGCAAATAGATTTAAGTAACTGATCTTACGTTTCTCTATGATATAAATCGTAACATGTAAGGCAATACTAACTGGTAGTTTCAAATTGCATTGATAAATCGATATGAGAAAGGAGTCTACTGCTATATACGTATCTTGGATAAAAACCACAGAAACGTTAGATGAATACTGAACTAGTGCGCTTACTCGCCACATGCTAAAGCATTGTTTTGAATTATCGATCAACGAGCACTAAAGCAGAAATTAAAGCAGAACAGATAGACAAGGCATTTGCCTGTGTTTCACCCGTAACGAGAACACTTTGCAAGAATATCTATTTATGACTTGTTCTTTAGAATTGATCACGTAGCTTGGAGACGCAAAGGATATATGTATATATAACTCGAGATCAATGTTGCTAAAGAATAAAATAGTGGATAAATAAAAAAAATACTTTAGATTATATAACAAGATTTTTAAGCGTTATTTATATCACTATTAATTTTGAAAGTTTAATGTCCCGACTAAACTCGGCAGACAATATTATATGTTATGGGATATGTAAATTATGCAGCGATACAACTTAACTTTAAATGCAATGTATGAAATTTACGATCGATCGAATAGCCATGGCATTTAATGATTGAGCGAGATGGGACATGACATTTTTATTGACATGGCACTTTTCATATTTTAGATTCAAAAACGCATACACAGAACGCTAAATTTTAATGAGATACAATTACGGATGTTATATGTTATTTTACATGTACCTTACTATTCCTAGGAACATTTATGAAATTATGATAAATTGCGAAATTTTGAGCAATTGAGTTGACGAGTTTGGAATAGTAAAGTTGTATCCGATTTATTGATTTGTTAATAAATTGCGCAGTTTCTGATATAAGTACATTGAATGAAAGGGTCTCTCAACAGATGATTGATCTCACAAATTGTTGCAATATATCTCAATGCGCGATTAAGAACTTATCTCTTCTTTTATATATATATATATAAAGAATGATAAATGGTTCTTTAAATTAAAACAGCGGCTAAATAAAAACGTGTATAAAATATACACTCACGCGCAATCTATGTCACATTCTAATTAATTTATTCTTTTCAATTTGTGCAAATTATGTATTGATCGACGTGTGCCGGCGATTGCCAGAATGACGTATAAAATAGTCTCTGAAAAGAGATAATTTAAAAATTAAATTTTAATTAGCTTAAATTGAATAAAATAAAATTTACAAAAAATTAAATTCAAAATAATAACATTAAATTTAAATAAAAAATATATGTACCATAAAATTTCAATAAAAAATTATTTTTAAAAAGATTTCGTACATAAATCGATTTTATCAATCACTTATTAACAGATATTTTATATTAAAAATTAACATCTTGAGACAAATAATAATTGCAATATTTAACTTCAATGTTCAAAAATATTAATACTCAAATATCTTTATAAACTTTTAAAATAAGAAATAAAAAAATTTAAATTTTGTATTACAGGATGCTGCTATACTTGTGCATTTTATTGTGAGAATTATGGTTGCGTTTCAGCAGAAAAAGCAGCTTTGCAACTGTTGTAAAGTTCTTCAATATGATTGGTTTATTTAGATCCAGTGAGGAACTAAGAGCAAGACCAATCATATTAAAGAATTTTACAACAGTTGTGAAATTGCTTTTCTGCTGAACGCAGCCATTGACTATTAATTCGTGATTCTAGGTGGATTCTACATGCATATCGAATTTGGTCTTACAAGTTTGAAAAAAAAGGATCACCTTACCAAACTTTTTTTAAGAATTACTTAAACATTAAAAAATTAATTTTTCATAATATCTATTATAAATAATATA